GGAGAAATGAGGAGAGAGGTGGGGAGAGGAGAAGAAAGGAGAGAAGAGGAGAAGAGATAGGAGAAGGGAGGTGGAGAGAGGAGGAGAAAGGAGAGGAGAGAGAGGTCTGAAAGAGGTCAGAGTTCCAAGAAAGAAAAGAGGAGGTGCTGTTTCCTGCAGTGCTTTCTCAGTGCTCTCTCTGTGCTCTCTCTGTGCTCTCTCTGTGCTCTCTCAGTGCTCTCTCAGTGCTCTCTCAGTGCTCTCTCTGTGCTCTCTCTGTGCTCTCTCTGTGCTCTCTCAGTGCTCTCTCAGTGCTCTCTCTGTGCTCTCTCTGTGCTCTCTCTGTACTCTCTCTGTACTCTCTCAGTGCTCTCTCTGTGCTCTCTCTGTGCTCTCTCTGTGCTCTCTCAGTGCTCTCTCAGTGCTCTCTCAGTGCTCTCTCTGTGCTCTCTCTGTGCTCTCTCTGTGCTCTCTCTGTGCTCTCTCTGTGCTCTCTCTGTGCTCTCTCAGTGCTCTCTCAGTGCTCTCTCTGTGCTCTCTCTGTGCTCTCTCTGTGCTCTCTCTGTGCTCTCTCTGTGCTCTCTCTCTCTCTCTCAGTGCTCTCTCAGTGCTCTCTCAGTGCTCTCTCAGTGCTCTCTCAGTGCTCTCTCTGTGCTCTCTCAGTGCTCTCTCTGTGCTCTCTCTGTGCTCTCTCTGTACTCTCTCAGTGCTCTCTCTGTGCTCTCTCTGTGCTCTCTCTGTGCTCTCTCTGTGCTCTCTCAGTGCTCTCTCAGTGCTCTCTCAGTGCTCTCTCAGTGCTCTCTCTGTGCTCTCTCTGTGCTCTCTCAGTGCTCTCTCTGTGCTCTCTCTGTGCTCTCTCTGTACTCTCTCAGTGCTCTCTCTGTGCTCTCTCTGTGCTCTCTCTGTGCTCTCTCTGTGCTCTCTCTGTGCTCTCTCAGTGCTCTCTCAGTGCTCTCTCTGTGCTCTCTCAGTGCTCTCTCTGTGCTCTCTCTGTGCTCTCTCTGTGCTCTCTCTGTGCTCTCTCTGTGCTCTCTCTGTGCTCTCTCTGTGCTCTCTCTGTGCTCTCTCTGTGCTCTCTCTGTGCTCTCTCTGTGCTCTCTCTGTGCTCTCTCTGTGCTCTCTCTGTGCTCTCTCAGTGCTCTCTCAGTGCTCAGTCTCTGTGCTCTCTCTGTGCTCTCTCAGTGCTCTCTCAGTGCTCTCTCTGTGCTCTCTCTGTGCTCTCTCTGTGCTCTCTCTGTGCTCTCTCTGTGCTCTCTCAGTGCTCTCTCTGTGCTCTCTCTGTGCTCTCTCTGTGCTCTCTCAGTGCTCTCTCAGTGCTCTCTCAGTGCTCTCTCAGTGCTCTCTCTGTGCTCTCTCTGTGCTCTCTCAGTGCTCTCTCAGTGCTCTCTCAGTGCTCTCTCTGTGCTCTCTCAGTGCTCTGCAAGGTCTGGTGGAGCGGCTGGTCTCCTATGAGGCCCTGAGACTGCAGCTCCAGTCGCGCCTGTCAGAGCTGCAGTCACAGGGCCCCGGCCCCCTGCTGTTCCCCTGGCCTGGACTGGGAGAGAGGAGGCAGGCTGCAGACCAGACCAGGACCAGGATGGACCAGACCAGGACTCTAGTCCCACTGCTGAGGGAGGCACACACACAGGTACACACACACACACACAGGTACACACACACACACACACACAGGTACACACACACACACACACAGGTACACACACACACACACAGGTACACAGGTACACACACACACACACACACACACACACACACACACACACACACACACACACACACACACACACACACACACACACACACTGAAGTTACAGACCCCAGCTTTAACATGTTTCTCCTCAGGCCTCAGACCTGGCAGAGCTGACTCAGGACCCGTCCCTGAGCTCCACAGAGTGGGAAGAGCAGGAGCAGAGCGTCCTCCAGGTGCTGCGGCAGCTCTCGGTGAGGCCTCAGAGGAGGTGCAGAGGAGGTGCAGAGGAGGTGACAGATTCAGCACAGAGTGTTCTGACAGTTCTTCTGGTCCCTCTGGTCCTCAGGAGAGCCTGGTGTCTCTGGAGGAGGGTGTCCTGGTGGAGAGGCAGTGCACTCAGCTGATAGAGCAGCACACAGCGGCTCAGGACTGGATACGAGACCAGGTCCGGACTCTGGGACCGACTCCTGAAGACCGACCAGGACTGCTCAGCTCCCTCAACACCCTCAAGGTGAAGGACACACACTCTACTAGTCCAGGTCGGAGAGGTCCTCTCTGGTCTCTCTCTGGTCTCTCTCTGGTCTCTCTCTGGTCTCTCTCTGGTTCCTCTGGTCCCTCTCTGGTCTCTCTCTGGTCTCTCTCTGGTCTCTCTCTGGTCTCTCTCTGGTCTCTCTCTCTGGTCTCTCTCTGGTCTCTCTCTGGTCTCTCTCTGGTCTCTCTCTCTGGTCCCTCTCTGGTCTCTCTCTGGTCTCTCTCTCTGGTCTCTCTCTCTGGTCTCTCTCCGGTCTCTCTCTGGTCTCTCTCTGGTCTCTCTCTCTGGTTTCTCTCTAGTCTCTCTCTGGTCTCTCTCTGGTCTCTCTCTGGCCTCTCTCTGGTCTCTCTCTGGTCTCTCTCTGGTCACTCTATCTGGTCTCTCTCTGGTCTCTCTCTGGTCTCTCTCTGGTCTCTCTCTCTGGTCTCTCTCCGGTCTCTCTCTGGTCTCTCTCTGGTCTCTCTCTCTGGTTTCTCTCTGGTCTCTCTCTGGTCTCTCTCTCTGGTCTCACACAGGTCTCACTGAGGTCTCACTCTGGTCCCTCTCTCTGGTCTTTCCCTGTTCTCTCTCCGGCCTCACTCTGGTCGCAGGTCTCTCTCTGGTCTCTTGCCTCACTCCAGCCTCTCTCTGGTCTCTCTCTGGTCTCTCTCTGGTCTCTCTCTTGGTCTCTCTCTCTGGTTTCTCTCTGGTCTCTCTCTCTGGTTTCTCTCTGGCTCTCTCTGGTCTCTCTCTGGTCTCTCTCTCTGGTCTCTCTCTGGTCTCTCTCTCTGGTCTCTCTCTCTGGTCTCTCTCTGGTCTCTCTGTCTGGTCTCTCTCTCTGGTCTCTCTCTGGTCTCTCTCTGGTCTCTCTCTCTGGTTTCTCTCTGGCTCTCTCTGGTCTCTCTCTGGTCTCTCTCTGGTCTCTCTCTCTGGTCTCTCTCTGGTCTCTCGCTGGTCTCTCTCTGGTCTCTCTCTGGTCTCTCTCTGGTCTCTCTCTCTGGTCTCTCTCCGGTCTCTCTCTGGTCTCTCTCTGGTCTCTCTCTGGTCTCTCTCTGGTCTCTCTCTGGTCTCTCTCTCTGGTCTCTCTCCGGTCTCTCTCTGGTCTCTCTCTGGTCTCTCTCTCTGGTCTCTCTCTGGTCTCTCTCTGGTCTCTCTCTGGTCTCTCTCTGGTCTCTAACCTGGTCTCTCTGGTCCAGGCCTTGCTTCAGACGGTGCAGAGGGAGCAGAGGGAGATGAAGGAGGTGGACTCCTCTGCAGAAGCTCTGATGAAGCTCCTCTCTGAAGGAGGTCAGGCCGCTCTCTCTCTGGACCTCAGTCACCTTCATCACCTCCTCAGGAGCTCTGAGGAGGTGCTCCGACTCCACCTGGGTCAGTGTGAGGAGCGTCTGCTGCAGGAGGAGCAGAGAGAGGAGCAGAAGGTCCATCAGAGAGAGCAGCAGGAGCAGAAGGAGCAGGAGCAGAAGGAGCAGCAGCAGAAGGAGCAGGAGCAGAAGGAGCAGCAGGAGCAGAAGGAGCAGCAGGAGCAGGAGGAGCAGCAGCAGAAGGAACAGCAGCAGCAGAAGGAGCAGCAGGAGCAGGAGGAGCAGCAGGAGCAGAAGGAGCAGCAGCAGAAGGAGCAGCAGCAGCAGAAGGAGCAGCAGCAGAAGGAGCAGCAGCAGAAGGAGCAGGAGCAGAAGGAGCAGCAGCAGAAGGAGCAGAAGGAGCAGCAGCTGAAGGAGAGCACCTCCTTGCTGCAGTGGGAGCTCCGGTCTCTGGAGCAGGCTCTGACCTACAGCCCCCAGAACATCACACAGATGCAGCAGCACTGGACCAGCCTCCAGGTAAACCAGGCCAGACCAGGCCCAACCAGGCCAGACCAGGCCAGGCCAGACTAGGCCAGACCAGACTAGGCCAGACCAGGCCAGGCCCGACTAGGCCAGACCAGACCAGGAAAGACCAGGCGGGCCCAACCAGGCCAGATCAGACCAGGCCCATCCAGGCCAGATCAGACCAGGCCCATCCAGACTTGACCAGTCCAGACCCATCCAGGCTAGACCAGACCAGACAAGGCTAGGCCAGACCAGTGTGTGTGTGCGTCTGTATGTAACCCTAGCCCTAACCAATCAGTCCAGGCCAGACCAGACTAGACCAAACCAGACCAGACCAGCCCAATGTGTGTGTATGATTGTGTAACCCTTACCCTAACCACCCAGACCAGACCAGGCCCAACCAGACCAGGTCCATTCAGGCCAGGCCAGATTAGACCAGGCCCATCAAGGCCAGACCAGACAAGTCTGGGCCAGACCAGTGTGTGTGCGTCTGTGTGTAACCCCAACCCTCACCAACCAGACCAGACCAGGCCAGGCCAGGCCAGTCCAGACTAGACCAAACCAGTCCAGGCCAGACCAGGCCATTGTGTGTGTGTGTGTCTGTATGTAACCTTTACCCTTTTTGTGTTGCAGAAGTGTGAGCAGTTGCTTCTGACCCTGAGGATGAAGTTAGATTGTCTTTTGGAGGAAAAACATCTGACCTTTGACCTCAGCTCAACCATAAAGGCATTGTCCCAACAACACAACAGGTAACACACCCACACACACACACACAGACACACACACACACACACACACACACACAGACACAGACACACACACACACACAGAGACACACACACACGCAGACACACACAGACACACACACACACAGACACAAGCACACACACACACACACACACACACAGAGACACACACAGACACAGACAGACAGAAACACACACACACACAGATACAAACACACACAGACACACACACACACACACACACACACAGACACACAGACACACACACACACACACACAGACACACGCAGTTAAAGCTCAGATGTGTAACTTTGTGTTTCAGTTTGAGCTCTCAGCTCCTGCAGCATCAGGCCTCCTGCTGCTCGGCCGCAGCCCACGCTTTGAAACGCTGTGTCCAGAAGCTGCAAGACTGGAGCTGCAGCGACACGCCCCAGTCCAGCTCAGCTCTGCAGGTGTGTGACATCACAGGGAGCTCTGACTGCAGATGCTGCTCCCCTCCACTCCCGGTCACCTTACAGTGTCCCGTACTTTCTGTTTCTCATGTTTTCTAGAGCTTTCATTGGGGGTGGTTCTCCTTCTGTAGAGCTTGCATTGGGGGTGCTTCTCCCTCTGTAGCGCTTGCATTGGAGGTGGTTCTCCTTCTGTAGAGCTTGCATTGGGGGTGGTTCTCCTTCTGTAGAGCTTGCATTGGGGGTACTTCTCCCTCTGTAGCGCTTGCATTGGAGGTGGTTCTCCTTCTGTAGAGCTTGCATTGGGGGTGGTTGTAATTCCCTGTGTGTCCTGTGATGCAGGAGGCGCTGCAGCAGGAGGAGCAGTTGGAGGAGGACCTGCAGGAGGCGCTGTCTCACTGGCACCTCCTCAGAGAAAGTCTGTCTCCTTCAGAGGTGGTCTCACTGCAGCAGGAGAGCAAGGAGGTGCTGGAGGAGGCGCAGGCTCACAGGGACCGGATGGAGAAGAAAAAACAGGTACCACAGGGATCAGAGGAACAGGTACCAGCACAGACCGAGGATCATAGGGACCAGAGGAACAGGTACCAGCACAAACTGAGACTCACAGGGACCAGAGGAACAGGTACCAGCACAGACTGAGACGTAGAGGGACCAGAGGAACAGGTACCAGCACAGACTGAGACTCACAGGGACCAGAGGAATAGGTACCAGCACAGACTGAGGCTCACAGGGACCAGAAGAACAGGTACCAGCACAGACTGAGGCTCACAGGGACCAGAGGAATAGGTACCAGCACAGACTGAGGCTCACAGGGTCCAGAGGAACAGGTACCAGCACAGGCTGAGGCTCACAGGGACCAGAGGAACAGGTACCAGCACAAACTGAGGCTCACAGGGACCAGAGGAATAGGTACCATCCCAGACTGAGGCTCACAGGGTCCAGAGGAACAGGTACCAGTACAGACTGAGGCTCACAGGGACCAGAGGAACAGGTACCAGCACAGACACAGAGAAGTGGCCTATACACTCCTCTGTGTCTGAAATAAACTTGATTGTGGTTTTCTAATGAACAATAACTGTTCTCATGCTTCCTGTGATAATGAGGCCCTTCGTCTTTCCGCAGGAGCTTGAGGCCAAACCCCAAGTCAAATCTACAACGCCTCAAACTTCTGGTGAAGTCACTTTTGTGGTCCCCCCGAGAAAAAAGCGTTTACAGATGACTCCAGCTGCGAGTCTTCAGTCCATCAACCAATCAGTGGGAGAGGAGGAGCCTGCTGCCAGAGACACAAAGGAAGTCACCGCAACTGAGCATGGAGCGGCTGAGGAAAGGGCCGCAGATACAGAAGATTCAAAAAGAGAAACTCCGGTCCCACTGACAAGGAAATCCAAGAAGGCGTCCACTGAGCCAGAGACAAAACAGAGGAAGATTGAAGCTAAAATTCAACAAGATACTTCTGAAACCAAGAAAATAGCAACAATTCTTCTTGAAGCACAGCCGTGTGCGCTCTCCACTGACGCTAACACCACAAGGGACGAGAGAACTGTGAAAGAACAGGAGACCAGTGTTGGAGACAAACCAGAGGCAACTCCTGAAGGAGCCGAGGCTGCACCACCGAAGCGTAAACCCAGAAGTCCAAAGATCTCTCCAACACAAAAAGAGGAGTTACCAGAAAGCTCAGCTGCAGATGTTAGTCCAGTGACTGCACCTGCAAGAAGAAAGTCAAAGACCTCACCGCCCTCTGACATGTTGACTGAGAAATCAGGCAAAGAAAGTGCAGAAACAGCTCCATTTTCGCCAACAAAAAGGAGGTTGAAAAAGTCTTCCCCAGAAACTAAAGCAGTGGGTGGATCCACGGAGGAGACCAAGGTCTTGGTAATGGAAGAGGCTGAAGATGACCAAAATGAAACAGCAGAGAAACTCAAGAAGGCAACTCCAAGAAGAAAATCCAAGACAGAGATGCAGCAAAAGACATCACAAGACATTTCTGCATCATCAGAGTCTATAAATGCTCCAGAAGCTTCTGATAATGGCAAAGTGTCTCCACCAAAGACGAAAGCAAGAGCTCCCAAGATGTCCCCTGCAACTGTGGACAAAGACGAACATAACAGAGTTGATAGTCAAGATTCAGGCACAACTCTGGCATCGACCGAGTCTTGCATGGAGACTGCTGAGCTCTCATTGGAGAAAATGATTGAGGAAAGTGGGAACTTGACACAAAGAAGAAGGAAATCAAAGAATCTACAAAGAATGTCGTCCGATCTTCCTAAGAAGGAGGAAGAAGAGACCAACGTTGAAGTCAAGGCTAAAACATCTCCAACAGAGAGTACAGCTTTGGAGAGCTGTAGCATCTCACCACCAAAAAGAAGATCCAAGAAATCTAAATCCTCTCCAGAAATGTCTAGAAAAGAAGTGGAAGACAAAACAATCCAGACTCCACCTGTGTCTGAGACGACTGGAACGATGTCTCCCTCAAAACGCAGGTCAAAGAGCAAGAAGTTCGCTGCTCAGTATACTGCTGAAGTGTCTCCAATGGACGTTCCAACCAATTCGATGGATGAGATGAAGAAATGTGCTGCAATAATTCTGGAAATCCCTGGCACTGTTCCCCAAATGATTTTTGAACAAAGTGAATTGTCACCAATCGAAGATCAGGCCCTAAATGTGTTTCCAAGTAAAGATGACATGGCTCACACTGTTGAAATTCAAACCACTGTAGAAAGCCTGGTTCCTGTGCCGGCGGCAGCTGTTGGCTTTGATCAAACACAGAAAACGAAAGAGAAGAAAGTAGCTACACTCATTTTGGAAAGGTCAGACTTTGTTGACCCAACTGTTGGCGTGAACCCAAACGCTAATGTTGAGCCAGAAAAAGCCAAGGTCAAAGGAAATCTCCAAGAAGTCCCAAAAGAAGCGTCTGTTCAAATGGAAACAGTTACAGTGAGTGATCCAGCTGAGCACATGGACGTCAGCTTCACTACTGCAGACAGTGAAAAGAAAGTGGCTGTAATTGTGTTGGAAATGCCACAAGAACTTCCAACAACAGAATCTAAATCTGCTGAGAAAGATCCCAATGTAAAACCAATCAAAGAAGACAAATGGACATCAGACCAATGTGTAGGACGTGTAACACAAGATCCATGTGTGGTGGAACTATCCCAGACACCAAAAGACATTGATGAGCAATCTCTGAAAGCTGCTGATGAGAATAACTCTGTTTGGGAGATGGCGAAGGATCAATCAATGCCAGAGATTGAAGAAAGAAAAGTCACCACTATCATTTTAGGAATGCCTGAATCTTCAGTTCTACAAATGGACCAAGATGCAAAGAAGATACAAGACCAACAAGATGTATCTACAACAGCTCTCCCTCAAAAAGCCTCCTTGACAGATGTAGGCGCCAATGACGACCCTGTTGGGAAGCAAGAGTTGGTCGAACCATCTGCAAGACAATCTGCTGATTTGACTCAGGATAATGACAAACCATTGCCTCTAAGAGAAAATTGCAAAGCGGTGCTTCAACAAGTAGATGATTCAAGGACCATTCAACAGACGTTTGATAGTTTTGAAGAGGTTAACTTACAGCCTGAAGATACACCTGAACTTACTGAGTCAAGCGGAACAAAAGCTGCGTCAGGTGAACAGCAAGATTCCAAAGACATGACAGGAAAAGTTTCAAAACCAGAACAAGTGGCAGAAGATATTCCGAAACCTCCAAGCACCCAAGATTGTGGAGTAGTTGTTTATGGTTCAAAGACTTTTACAGATGAAGTGGTGCCTCAAGGAGTAGTAGAAGTTTTTCCAGATTTCCAGAAACCCAGAGAAGATTCAAGAGACTTTCAAGAGACTTTTGATAGATTTGAAGCTGTACTGTTGCAGCCGGAGACGACACCGGAGGCTTCTGAGACCGTTGAAACAAAAGATAAACCAGATGATTCTAAAGATGCGACAGGGAACGTTCCAAAGCCAGTGCAAGTTGTGAAGATTGACAGTCGAGAAGAAGCGCTACTCAAAGAAGATGCGACACAGAATGACATTAGTCCTGTTTGTGAAACAATTGTGCTTGGTGATGTTGCTACTGCTCAAGCTCCGTTAGACAAATCTGAAGATATCTTGCGACCTGGTCCAAATGTGACAGGAATGATTCAGGTTGTGGAGGGTGTTGATGTTGTCCAAGGTGTACAATATTTAGTGAATGACCAGAATCCTGTGTGCTCTATGGTAAAGGGAGTCACTGTTCAAACAGAAGAAATGCAGCCGTTGGTGGTTGGGATTGTTGATGATAGAGATAGTTCAGAAAAGCCTAAAGCTCTGCAGGGGGACGATATTGTGAGTAAACCTGGCCCGATTGTAGAACAAGAACCTACAGTATGTATTGATGAAACAGGGAAGGAGCAAAAACAAGAATCTGAAGTGAGTGGTGATGGCCAGGCTTTAGGAGAATATGTGATGACAGAAGAAACAGGAGTAGAATATATTAGCATTGATAGAAAGCATGTAATTCAACAGAAGACTATTGAGAGTAAAGAGGACAAAACGACTGCTAAACAGTCTCAAATTAGTCCAGAAGTAAGTAGCAGTAGCATTTTGCCAAGAGAAGTTCCAGAAGCTACTAAAATAGAGTTGACTGCTTCCGCACTGTCCCCTCAGATTGAAGAAATAGCTCTTCCAAGCGAAGTCCTGCCTGAACATGTAAGTACAAAACAGACTGTCGCCGCTGAGAATGCTGTGTCCACAGAGTTGGCTGGTTATGGCGATCACGCGTGCAGAGAAACGCTTGAACAGACATGTGTTGTGCTGGATGTGCATGATGATCACACCGCTCACATTTGCACGTTAGACGCTGAAAAGGCCGAGGTTCAGCCTGGTTCAGCCGTGGTAAAACCCACTGAAGGAAAGCATGTGCATGTAGCTATGTCACCGGATCAAGACAAATCCATCCTCGCAGTAAGTGACCCACAGGACGTCTCAGACTCTGACTTGCACGCTGAAAAGAATGGTGTAACCCTGACAGAACTAGAACAGCCAGGTGTTGTAGAGACATTAAAACAGACAATCATTGCTGATAATAGGAGTTTAGGAACTATGAAGGAAATGTCTAAAGGTCTTGAATTGCCTGATTTTGATAAGCGACCCAGTGAGGCCCAATTCATATCAGAGAAAAGCAAAGTAAAACTAATGGTCGATAAGCAAACAAAAGGAACAATAGATGAACCACCTACTGTTTTAGGCATAGCCACTATTGTGAATAACTTGGTGAAAGAGGAAAGAGAACAGATGGAAGTGGTTTCCCAAAGTGAGACCGTACCAACAGAGCCTGAAGTAGAAAACACATCTAAAGTGGAAGAAAAGCAGGTAAAAAATGAAAATGTTGAATTGGAAACTGATGAAACAGACCAAACTAATCGGAGCGAAGACTCACAAATCCAGGTCGATGTTGATTTTGATGCAATTACAAAGGAGCAGAGTCATTTGGTAAGTATACCGGACAATGAGGACAAGCGGACCAGTGTCCATGATGTGGATCCTTTGGGGGAGATTCAAGCCATCACAATAAGTGAAGAAATCAGTGACACAATTCAACGAGAACCACTGGAGGATGATACATCTGCTGAAGTAGAGCTACGCCAAGTATCGAGTGAAGCTGAGGTTCCAATTACAACTGGAGTTTTGACAGAGCCCAAAGAGCAAGATGGACACATCAAGGAACTACCGCAGCAGTTATGCAAGAAGGATGATTCTGAACTGTTGGAAGCTGACCAAAAACCCATTCAAGGACCAAGTTTAATGAAAATGGACATGAATATCTGCAAGGAACTGAGGCCAACAAAGATAGATGTGAAACCAAGTCGTGAAGCCCAGGAAATAATGACAACATCCAATGATGAACCAAGAGAGACAAGCCCAGAGACACCAGAACAAGAGGCGATGAACGTAACTGAAGCTGACACAAGAGAAAACGCAGAGTGTCCCATTGAATACAAAGATCAAAAGTCAGAACTGGTAGAAACTGGTGAAGAACCTGTTGATGAACTGAAGAAGTCAGATGAGTCAACCATGTTTTTTTTCACATCAAAGACTATTCTGAGTGAGCAAATGACTTCAGAAATAGTCGTCTCAGGTGCAGACACTGATACTCCAGAAGAGTCTGAGCCAATGGGAGATGGACAGAAAACAGAAAGAGTTCAAATGACCAAACCTTCATCCTGGAGTCACATGGGTTCCATGACTTATGCTGAAGTTTTGAAGCAGGGAATGCCAAAGATTATTGAGAACGCAGAGATCAGAACACCTGGAACAAAAGAAGATTCTGTAAAAGTAGATGAAACTAGAAAACTGGAGAACATATCGCTCATTCCTGAAAACCTGACTGAGCATGTGACATGTTCGATGGATGAGAAGTTTCCAGAAACAGAAGATAAATTACAGAAGGTTGAAGATAAAATCACGTCAGAGAATTATGCTCTGCTTTCTAAGGTAAGTACATCGCCAGCTGAATATGGCACATTTTCCCCAACAGACCAGGAAACCACCAATCTCGACGTAGACAGGCCGGATATTACGGAACCCTTTGAAATAGTGGATTTGGAGATTACGAGATCAACTTCTGAACTCGAACGTGAAGGTAAAACTGAGCACAAGACCCTCATGTCTTACGAAGTCTCAGAAACATTTAACAGCGGTGAGCAAGCAATTATTACTGCAACTTACAAGCAAAAGGAACAGGTTTCACCCACAAAAATACCGGAACTAGTTGAAAAAAGGTTAATGGGGAAGGATCTTGGACGGAATGGAGATCCACAAAAGATTGAAAACACTGGTGTTTGTGAATTGTCACAAGCTAAGAAAGTGAAAAGTGTGGAGACTTCCAGACCAAAGGATATTTCCCTTTCGCAGCCAGGCAGACAAGGAGAAAAAGAATCTGGAACAATGGTTGTAAACATTGACATGAATAAAGGAGCTCAGATTAGAACAAAACCCAAATCACCATCTTCAACTTTACATTGTGACAACACAATCTGATTCATTTGATTCAAGACAAGAACTGCAACCAGTTTCAGAAGTTCCCCTACCCTTAGAATCATCCTTTGAGGAAAGAGGTGCCTCTCAAGAAGGTTCAAGAGATAAGATTGCCCAGGAAATTACAAGAAGTATACACCCAATTGGCAAAGAATCAAATACTCACAAGAAAGAAGAAAAGTCTCTTGAAACAAAGGAAGTATTACGGTCTGAAAAACCAAAACCACCACTAAGGAAAACAAAAAGTATTGATATTGCCAAACCTAAAGAGACACGCGTGGTCAGAGTACGCAGCATTGACACCAAAGAAAAACAACTGAGAAAGTCGGGTTCCAAAGAAGCTGGGGTAACAGCACCGTCCAAAACAAAGTCAAAAATGTCCAAAGAACCCATTGAGAAAGGAGCCTTGATTCCTGAGGCCCCACATTGTGAGACTACGGAAGATGAGGAACATTCTTACATTGAACCAAAGGTACATGAAGATATTTCTGAATTGGACAATCCAGAAAGTCAAAGGTTTGTTTTAGATGGCACTGTATCTGAGGACAGCATTCAGATTTCACCAGCTGATGATTCTTCAGCACTGGTTAACGCTGACTCAACAGATCCCACAAGCAAATTAGATTACGTTGAGCCATCTGCAGCTTCTCCTGCAACAAAGGAGAACATTAAACCAACCACAAGAACTTCTGAAAAGATCAAACCAACACAAAAGAAGAGAAAAATTGTTGATATTTCCAAATCAAAGGAAGTCCGTGTTCCCAGAGCAGGCAGCATAGATGTGAAAGAAATACAAACCGGAAAGCGTAATTCCAAAGTAGAAATATCAAAACCAAAATCTTCAAAAGAAACCTCAGGGGTATCTACTGGTTCTGAAGTTCTCAAAAAAGTGGAGACTAATGTTCAGTCAGACAAAATAGAGCCAGCTGCTCTAACAAAAGAAGCAGACGAGACCAAAGCAGCAAGAAGACCGTCTAAGGGGGCCATTTCTGAAAGAGAAAAATCCACACCATCTAAATCAAAAGTTAAAAGCATTGACGTTCCCAGACCCAAAGACAGGCTTTCTACTCGATCAGGCAGTGTTGATGGGCAAGAAATCAAAGACAGAAAGGCTAAAGTCGAAACTGTTAAAGGACCACAGCCAAAACACAAGCAAAAACTATTAATAGCAAAGACAAAAGATTCTTCAGAGCCTCCTCTGTTGACTCCAGATACTATGACAGTAACAGGTTCAGAACTTACAACAAGAAATGTTCAAGAAAGGACACAAGATTCTCTTCACATGGAAACACCCAAAGACGAGCTGTCACTCACTGAGGACGCTCCAGCCGTTTGTAAGGATGGGATTCAAACGAGAGATGTAGATGGTGTAAAGGTAGCCTCAGCTATCTATGAAATCAAAACAAAACCATCTGAAAAAGACATCCAGGAGCATAAAGTTGTTGGCAAAGCTCCTGTCCCCAAAGAAGTTAAGGCAAAGTCCATAATTACAAAGGCAAAGAGTGTTGATGTGACTAAACCTAAAGATGCCCGCGTTTCCCGATCAGCCAGCGTTGATGTGAAGGACACCAAACTGAAAACCATCTCCAAGGTCCAAACGGGAAAAATAAAACTAAAAGATCCAAAACCACTTCTTACGAAGCCGAAAGTAACAGAGGAAGTTGTTGTGACGACAAAGAGCAAGAAAGCAACGCCCTCTTCAGGATTTCAGCCACAAGATCCTGAAGAAAGCAGAACAATGAGTCTGTCTCAAAAGACAGGTACAAGGGTAGCGATAACTGGTAAAGAATCCGATCAGGAACAACAAACTGAAAAGATATATACAACTAGAGCTGACACTGTTTCTGAAGAAAGAGAAGTTAGTTTAAACGCAGAAGATAAACTGGTTTCAAAGTCACCGGAAAAAAGAGAACAGATGTCTGTGACGGAGGATGCAGACCGGTTACCATCACGAGCGGTGGAGCAGGACCATGTAGGAAGTACAGATGCTGATTGGAGAATTCCACTGGAGAATGATGATGAATTTGAGATTTTGGAAACAGAAGCTCTGGATAACTTTCAAAAACCTGAACAGTCAAGAAGATTAACAAAATATTCAAATGTTGATGTGTCAAAAGCCAAGAAGATGGACACTATTGCTGAAGTCGAGGGATCAGCAACAGATAATTCAATTAGAAAAGACAATCTTTCGCTCAAGAAAAGAAAGTACAAAAATCGACTGAATGTTTCACCAGAACTCCCTGAAAATGAAATGAAAGAAAAGAATGACAATGTGAGTTTCATTTTAACAACAGTCGCATCAACAGTGGCTCAATTGATCCCATGTGAAGAAAAAGGAGATGGAAAAATCACAGGTGAAGAAGAACTAGAGCCTCAACCAGATGTTCAGCCTCAACCAGATGCAACAAGTGGAAATGTGACAATTACAACAAAGAAGGCACCAAAAGAACTTCAAGAACAATACCAGCCAGAAGAAATAGAAGTGGAAAAAACAAAGACAACTATCTCAAATAGTGAGGGTGAAGTCTCCAAAATTAAATACAAGAATCAAAGAAGAATTAGCAAAGAGGGAACTCTTGGTTTGGAGCAGGTCCAACAACTTAAAGAAGAGACAGAATCTCCCAAAGACACTCTTCAAATTGAACCACAAGTGATGAATTTGATGGTGTGTAAAAATCCTGTTCCAATCGAGCCACAAGAGCTGAGATTGGTCGTTTGTGAAAAGGAAGAAACTGAACCTAAACCAGAGGATTTGGAACTGACCCAGACACAAGAAACAAGTGTTCAACCTCTGAGTCCACCTGTCGAGATACCTGCAGACGAAATTCAAACAGTGGACGAGTCTGAGGCATCAACAACCAAACAAAAGAGAAAGACACGGAAACACAGAAAGACAAGCAAAGACAGGGATCTGGAGGAGGAGCTAGTGCCTTCTATCATCCAAGAGGTAAACCCAGATTCTACCCAGCAACAGCCCACAGTAACAAAAACAGATGAAGTGTTAGTACCATCTGAGGAACAGGAACTCAGATCAGTGGTTTGTGAAATTGAGCAAACTGAAGTTTGTAAAGAAACATATTCTACTGTTGAAGCTAAACCAAGTGAGTTGGACGAAGCATTTTCAGAAGATTGGCCAGTTCTAACCCAAACCCAAGAAGATAAACAAACTCATCCTTGTCCCAAACCTGAAAAAGGTTCAGTAACACCACAAGAGACAAAAACAACTGATGAAGAAACAACAGTTCCAACAGAAACACCCAAAGATATTCTTCAAATAGAACCCCAAACGCTGTCTTTGGTGGTCTGTGAAATGACAGAAACAAGCACTGTTCCAGAGGTTTCTGAAGAGAGCAAAGAAAAAGGACTGGATTTCAATAAAGATTCTCTTCAAATCGAGCCACAAGAGTTGAGATTGGTCGTCTGTAAAAAGGGAGAAACTGAACCTAAACCAGAGGATTTGGAACTTACCCAGACACAAGAAACAAGTGTTCAACCTCTGAGTCCACCTGTCGAGTTACCTACAGAAGAAAGTCAAACAGTGGATGAGTCTGAGGCATCAACAACCAAACAAAAGAGAAAGACACGGAAACACAGAAAGACAAGCAAAGACAAGGATTTGGAAGAGGTGGAGTCGCCTACTGACTCCCAAGTGGAAAAACCACAGACTGTAATAACTGAACCAGAGGAAAAACAAGTTTTGAAGACTATGATTAGTGAAATTGAACAAACTCAATCAGAATCTACTGCAGTTCCACCAGAGCAGGTCCAAACAGTTAAGGAAGTGAAGGAATCTCCCAAAGACACCCTTCAAATTGAGCCACAAGAGCTGAATTTGGTGGTGTGTGAAGCTCCACCAACTCGGCCCCAACCAGAACCTGCTGTAGGTATTGATCAAACATCACCATCAGACACCAACACAACTGTTCCAATCGAGCCACAAGAGCTGAGATTAGTCGTCTGTAAAAAAGGAGAAACTGAACCTAAACCAGAGGATTTGGAACTTACCCAGACACAAGTAACAAGTGTTCAACCTCTGAATCCACCTGTCGAGATACCTGCAGACGAAAGTCAAACAGTGGACGAGTCTGAGGCATCAACAACCAAACAAAAGAGAAAGACACGGAAACACAGAAAGACAAGAAGAGACCAGGATTTGGAAGAGGTGGAGTCGCCTACTGACTCCCAAGTGGAAAAACCACAGACTGTAATAACTGACCCAGAGGAAAAGCAAAGTCTGAAGACTATGATTAGTGCAATTGAACAAACTCAATCAGAATCTGCTGCAGTTCCACCAGAGCAGGTCCAAACAGTTAAGGAAGTGAAGGAATCTCCCAAAGACACTCTTCAAATTGAATCACAAGAGCTGAATTTGGTGGTGTCTGAAGCTCCACCAACTCGGCCCCAACCAGAACCTGCTGTAGGTATCGATCAAACATCACCATCAGACACCAACACAACTGTTCCAATTGAGCCACAAGAGCTGAGATTGGTCGTCTGTAAAAAGGGAGAAACTGAACCTACATCTGAGGATTTGGAACTCACCCAGACACAAAAAACAAATGTTCAACGTCTGAGTCCACCTGTCGAGATACCTGCAGACGAAAGTCAAACAGTGGACGAGTCTGAGGCCTCAACAACCAAACAAAAGAGAAAGACACGGAAACACAGAAAGACAAGCAAAGACAGGGATCTGGAGGAGGAGCTAGTGCCTTCTATCATCCAAGAGGTAAACCCAGATTCTACCCAGCAACAGCCCACAGTAACAAAAACAGATGAAGTGTTAGTACCATCTGAGGAACAGGAACTCAGATCAGTGGTTTTTGAAATTGAGCAAACTGAAGTTTGTACAGAAACATATTCTACTGTTGAAGCTAAACCAAGTGAGTTGGACGAAGCAGTTTCAGAAGATTGGCCAGTTCTAACCCAAACCCAAGAAGATAAACAAACTCATCCTTGTCCCAAACCTGAAAAAGGTTCAGTAACACCACAAGAGACAAAAACAACTGATGAAGAAACAACAGTTCCAACAGAAACACCCAAAGATAATCTTCAAATAGAAAGCCAAACGCTGTGTTTGGTGGTCTGTGAAATGACAGAAAATAGCACTGTTCCAGAGGTTTCTGAAGAGAACAAAGAAACAGGACTGGATTTCAATAAAGATTCTCTTCAAATTGAGCCACAAGAGTTGAGATTGGTCGTGTGTAAAAAGGGAGAAACTGAACCTAAACCAGAGGATTTGGAACTTACCCAGACACAAGAAACAAGTGTTCAACCTCTGAGTCCACCTGTCGAGTTACCTACAGAAGAAAAGTCAAACAGTGGATGAGTCTGAGGCATCAACAACCAAACAAAAGAGAAAGACACGGAAACACAGAAAGACAAGCAAGAGACAAGGATTTGGAAGAGGTGGAGAGGCCTACTGACTCCCAAGTGGAAAAACCACAGACTGTAATAACTGAACCAGAGGAAAAACAAGGTCTGAAGATTATGATTAGTGAAATTGAACAAACTCAATCAGAATCTGCTGCAGTTCCACCAGAGCAGGTCCAAACAGTTAAGGAAGTGAAGGAATCTCCCAAAGACACTCTTCAAATTGAGCACAAGAGCTGAATTTGGTGGTGTCTGAAGCTCCACCAACTCGGCCCCAACCAGAACCTGCTGTAGGTATCGATCAAACATCACCATCAGACACCAACACAACTGTTCCAATTGAGCCACAAGAGCTGAGATTGGTCGTCTGTAAAAAGGGAGAAACTGAACCTACATCTGAGGATTTGGAACTCACCCAGACACAAAAAACAAATGTTCAACGTCTGAGTCCACCTGTCGAGATACCTGCAGACGAAAGTCAAACAGTGGACGAGTCTGAGGCCTCAACAACCAAACAAAAGAGAAAGACACGGAAACACAGAAAGACAAGCAAAGACAGGGATCTGGAGGAGGACCTAGTGCCTTCTATCATCCAAGAGGTAAACCCAGATTCTACCCAGCAACAGCCCACAGTAACAAAAACAGATGAAGTGTTAGTACCATCTGAGGAACAGGAACTCAGATCAGTGGTTTTTGAAATTGAGCAAACTGAAGTTTGTACAGAAACATATTCTACTGTTGAAGCTAAACCAAGTGAGTTGGACGAAGCAGTTTCAGAAGACTGGCCAGTTCTAACCCAAACCGAAGAAGATAAACCAACTCATCCTTATCCCAAACCTGAAAAAGGTTCAGTAACACCACAGGAGACAAAAACAACTGATGAAGAAACAACAGTTCCAACAGAAACACCCAAAGATATTCTTCAAATAGAACCCCAAACGCTGTCTTTGGTGGTCTGTGAAATGACAGAAACAAGCACTGTTCCAGAGGTTTCTGAAGAGAGCAAAAAAACAGGACTGGATTTCAATAAAGATTCTCTTCAAATCGAGCCACAAGAGTTGAGATTGGTCGTCTGTAAAAAGGGAGAAACTGAACCTAAACCAGAGGATTTGGAACTTACCCAGACACAAGAAACAAGTGTTCAACCTCTGAGTCCACCTGTCGAGTTACCTACAGAAGAAAGTCAAACAGTGGATGAGTCTGAGGCATCAACAACCAAACAAAAGAGAAAGACACGGAAACAGAGAAAGACAAGCAGAGACAAGGATTTGGAAGAGGTGGAGTCGCCTACTGACTCCCAAGTGGAAAAACCACAGACTGTAATAACTGAACCAGAGGAAAAACAAGTTTTGAAGACTATGATTAGTGAAATTGAACAAACTCAATCAGAATCTGCTTCAGTTCCACCAGAGCAGGTCCAAACAGTTAAGGAAGTGAAGGAATCTCCCAAAGACACCCTTCAAATTGAGCCACAAGAGCTGAATTTGGTGGTGTGTGAAGCTCCACCAACTCGGCCCCAACCAGAACCTGCTGTAGGTATCGATCAAACATCACCATCAGACACCAACACAACTGTTCCAATCGAGACACAAGAGCTGAGATTAGTCATCTGTAAAAAAGGAGAAACTGAACCTAAACCAGAGGATTTGGAACTTACCCAGACACAAGAAACAAGTGTTCAACCTCTGAATCCACCTGTCGAGATACCTGCAGACGAAAGTCAAACAGTGGACGAGTCTGAGGCATCAACAACCAAACAAAAGAGAAAGACACGGAAACACAGAAAGACAAGCAGAGACAAGGATTTGGAAGAGGTGGAGTCGCCTACTGACTCCCAAGTGGAAAAACCACAGACTGTAATAACTGAACCAGAGGAAAAACAAGGTCTGAAGATTATGATTAGTGAAATTGAACAAAATCAATCAGAATCTGCTGCAGTTCCACCAGAGCAGGTCCAACAACTTGAAAAAGAGACAGAATCTCCCAAAGACACTCTTCAAATTGAGCAACAAGAGCTGAATTTGGTGGTGTCTGAAGCTCCACCAACTCGGCCCCAACCAGAACCTGCTGTAGGTATCGATCAAACATCACCATCAGACACCAACACAACTGTTCCAATTGAGCCACAAGAGCTGATATTGGTCGTCTGTAAAAAGGGAGAAACTGAACCTACATCTGAGGATTTGGAATTCACCCAGACACAAAAAACAAATGTTCAACGTCTGAGTCCACCTGTCGAGATACCTGCAGACGAAAGTCAAACAGTGGACGAGTCTGAGGCCTCAACAACCAAACAAAAGAGAAAGACACGGAAACACAGAAAGACAAGCAAAGACAGGGATCTGGAGGAGGACCTAGTGCCTTCTATCATCCAAGAGGTAAACCCAGATTCTACCCAGCAACAGCCCACAGTAACAAAAACAGATGAAGTGTTAGTACCATCTGAGGAACAGGAACTCAGATCAGTGGTTTGTGAAATTGAGCAAACTGAAGTTTGTAAAGAAACATATTCTACTGTTGAAGCTAAACCAAGTGAGTTGGACGAAGCAGTTTCAGAAGATTGGCCAGTTCTAACCCAAACCCAAGAAGATAAACAAACTCATCCTTGTCCCAAACCTGAAAAAGGTTCAGTAACACCACAAGAGACAAAAACAACTGATGAAGAAACAACAGTTCCAACAGAAACACCCAAAGATATTTTTCAAATAGAACCCCAAACGCTGTCTTTGGTGGTCTGTGAAATGACAGAAACAAGCACTGTTCCAGAGGTTTCTGAAGAGAGCAAAGAAACAGGACTGGATTTCAATAAAGATTCTCTTCAAATCGAGCCACAAGAGTTGAGATTGGTCGTCTGTAAAAAGGGAGAAACTGAACCTAAACCAGAGGATTTGGAACTTACCCAGACACAAGAAACAAGTGTTCAACTTCTGAGTCAACCTGTCGAGTTACCTACAGAAGAAAGTCAAACAGTGGATGAGTCTGAGGCATCAACAACCAAACAAAAGAGAAAGACACGGAAACAGAGAAAGACAAGCAAAGACAAGGATTTGGAAGAGGTGGAGTCGCCTACTGACTCCCAAGTGGAAAAACCACAGACTGTAATAACTGAACCAGAGGAAAAACAAGTTTTGAAGACTATGATTAGTGAAATTGAACAAACTCAATCAGAATCTGCTGCAGTTCCACCAGAGCAGGTCCAAACAGTTAAGGAAGTGAAGGAATCTCCCAAAGACACCCTTCAAATTGAGCCACAAGAGCTGAATTTGGTGGTGTGTGAAGCTCCACCAACTCGGCCCCAACCAGAACCTGCTGTAGGTATCGATCAAACATCACCATCAGACACCAACACAACTGTTCCAATTGAGCCACAAGAGCTGAGATTGGTCGTCTGTAAAAAGGGAGAAACTGAACCTACATCTGAGGATTTGGAACTTACCCAGACACAAAAAACAAATGTTCAACGTCTGAGTCCACCTGTTGAGTTACCAACAGAAGAAAGTCAAACAGTGAACGAGTCTGAGGCATCAACAACCAAACAAAAGAGAAAGACACGGAAACACAGAAAGACAAGCCAAGACAGGGATCTGGAGGAGGACCTAGTGCCTTCTATCATCCAAGAGGTAAACCCAGATTCTACCCAGCAACAGCCCACAGTAACAAAAACAGATGAAGTGTTAGTACCATCTGAGGAACAGGAACTCAGATCAGTGGTTTGGGAAATTGAGCAAACTGAAGTTTGTAAAGAAACATATTCTACTGTTGAAGCTAAACCAAGTGAGTTGGACGAAGCAGTTTCAGAAGATTGGCCAGTTCTAACCCATACAGAAGAAGATAAACCAACTCATCCTTGTCCCAAACCTGAAAAAGGTTCAGTAACACCACAGGAGACAAAAACAACTGATGAAGAAACAACAGTTCCAACAGAAACACTCAAAGATATTCTTCAAATAGAACGCCAAACGCTGTCTTTGGTGGTCTGTGAAATGACAGAAACAAGCACTGTTCCAGAAGTTTCTGAAGAGAACAAAGAAACAGGACTGGATTTCAATAAAGATTCTCTTCAAATCGAGCCACAAGAGTTGAGATTGGTTGTGTGTAAAAAGGGAAAAACTGAACCTAAACCAGAGGATTTGGAACTTACCCAGACACAAGAAACAAGTGTTCAACCTCTGAGTCCACCTGTCGAGATACCTGCAGAAGAAAGTCAAACAGTGGACGAGTCTGAGGCATCAACAACCAAACAAAAGAGGAATACACGGAAACACAGAAAGACAAGCAAAGACAACGATCTGGAGGAGGTGGAGACGCCTACCGACTCCCAAGTGGAAAAACCACAGACTGTAATAACTGAACCAGAGGAAAAACAAGGTCTGAAGATTATGATTAGTGAAATTGAACAAAATCAATCAGAATCTGCTGCAGTTCCACCAGAGCAGGTCCAACAACTTGAAAAAGAGACAGAATCTCCCAAAGACACTCTTCAAATTGAGCAACAAGAGCTGAATTTGGTGGTGTGTGAAGCTCCACCAACTCGGCCCCAACCAGAACCTGCTGTAGGTATCGATAAAACATCACCATCAGACACCAACACAACTGTTCCAATCGAGCCACAAGAGTTGAGATTGGTCGTCTGTAAAAAGGGGGAAACTGAACCTAAACCAGAGGATTTGGAACTTACCAAGACACAAGAAACAAGTGATCAACCTCTGAGTCCACCTGTTGAGTTACCAACAGAAGAAAGTCAAACAGTGGTTGAGTCTGAGGCATCAACAACCAAACAAAAGAGAAAGACACGGAAACACAGAAAGACAAGCAAAGACAAGGATTTGGAAGAGGTGGAGTCGCCAACTGACTCCCAAGTGGAAAAACCACAGACTGTAATAACTGAACCAGAGGAAAAACAAGGTTTGAAGACTTTGATTAGTGCAATTGAACAAACTCAATCAGAATCCGCTGCAGTTCCACCAGAGCAGGTCCAAACAGTTAAGGAAGTGAAGGAATCTCCCAAAGACACTCTTCAAATTGAACCACAAGAGCTGAATTTGGTGGTGTGTGAAGCTCCACCAACTCGGCCCCAACCAGAACCTGCTGTAGGTATCGATAAAACATCACCATCAGACACCAACACAACTGTTCCAATCGAGCCACAAGAGCTGAGATTGGTCGTCTGTGAAAAGGAAGAAACTCACCCTCAAAGGGAGGAACTGACACGAGACACAAGTGTCTTTGAGGTTTCTGAGTCCGATCAACCTCTGAGTCCACCTGTCGAGATACCTGCAGAAGAAAGTCAAACAGTGGACGAGTCTGAGGCATCAACAACCAAACAAAAGAGAAAGACACGGAAACACAGAAAGACAAGCAAAGACAAGGATCTGGAGGAGGTGGCGTTTTCTACTGACTCCCATGTGGAAAAACCACGGACTGCAATAACTGAACCAGAGGAAAAACAAGGTCTAAAGACTTTGATGAGTGAAATTGAACAAACTCAATCAGAATCTGCTGCAGTTCCACCAGAGAATGTCCAAACAGTTAATGAAGTGACAGAATCTACCAAAGACACTCTTCAAATTGAACCCCAAAAGCTGTCTTTGATGATCTTTGAAATGACAGAAACAAACACTGTTCCAGAGGTTTCTGAACCGTCTGCGAGGAAAGAAATGTCGCTCTTGGAGGAAGCAAAGTCTGAAGAAGCCCCTGAAGCAATCTGTGCGACTGAAGTCTCTGACAAACATCCAAGTCTAGACTCGAAGGCCAAAACCATTGAGCCACAGCCATCTTTCTTTGACCTCATAAAAACTGCAGCACAGGAAATTACAAAAGGGGTTGAAGACATTTTCACCACTGATTACAGCAAAACTGAAAACATGGAGAGAGAACAGGCTGTCATTTCAGAAGATATTCGTGACCGGTCAAAGCCTTTACCAAAAGAACCTGAATCCTCAGAGCAACGTAAACTTGTATTGAAGGAATGTATGGTTGAAGTGATCAAAACCACTCAAGAAACAGCGCCACCTATTGAGATGTTACAGACTGCGACGGAGAAAGGATTTGTTCAGGAAGTTCCCAAAAACACTGTTGAAACTGAACAAAGGGTGGTGGAAACGGAGGTTTCTGAAAGTGAAAAAGATGTAGCTCAACCTCAGTCAGAGGTTAAACTTTTGACAGAACGACATCAGAAGGTTCAAACAACAGAAGAGGAAAAAGAAACAACTCAAGATTTCAATAAATATTCTCTTCAAATCGAGCCACAAAAGCTGAAATTGGTCGTCTGTAAAAAGGGAGAAAGTGAACCTAAACCAGAGGATTTGGAACTTACCCAGACACAAGAAACAAGTGTTCAACCTCTGAGTCCACCTGTCGAGATACCTAAAGAAGAAAGACAAACAGTGGATGAGTCTGAGGCATCAACAACCAAACTAAAGAGAAAGACACGGAAACACGGAAAGACAAGCAAAGACAAGGATCTGGAGGAGGTGGAGTCGCCTACTGACTCCCAAGTGGAAAAACCACAGACTGTAATAACTGAACCAGAGGAAAAACAAGGTCTGAAGACTATGATTAGTGAAATTGAACAAACTCAATCAGAATCTTCTGCAGTTCCACCAGAGCAGGTCCAAACAGTTAAGGAAGTGAAGGAATCTCCCAAAGACACTCTTCAAATTGAATCACAAGAGCTGAATTTGGTGGTGTCTGAAGCTCCACCAACTTGGCCCCAACCAGAACCTGCTGTAGGTATCGATCAAACATCACCATCAGACACCAACACAACTGTTCCAATCGAACCACAAGAGTTGAGATTGGTCGTCTGTAAAAAGGAAGAAACTCACCCTCAAAGGGAGGAACTGACACAAGACACAAGTGTCTTTGAGGTTTCTGAGTCCGATCAACCTCTGAGTCCACCTGTTGAGATACCTGCAGAAGAAAGTCAAACAGTGGACGAGTCTGAGGCATCAACAACCAAACAAAAGAGAAAGACACGGAAACACAGAAAGACAAGCAAAGACAAGGATCTGGAGGAGGTGGCGTTTTCTTCTGACTCCCATGTGGAAAAACCACAGACTGTAATAACTGAACCAGAGGAAAAACAAGGTCTGAAGACTTTGATGAGTGAAATTGAACAAACTCAATCAGAATCTGCTGCAGTTCCACCAGAGAATGTCCAAACAGTTAATGAAGTGACAGAATCTACCAAAGACACTCTTCAAATTGAACCCCAAAAGCTGTCTTTGGTGATCTTTGAAATGACAGAAACAAACACTGTTCCAGAGGTTTCTGAACCGTCTGCGAGGAAAGAAATGTCGCTCTTGGAGGAAGCAAAGTCTGAAGAAGCCCCTGAAGCAATCTCTGCGACTGAAGTCTCTGACAAACATCCAAGTCTAGACTCGAAGGCCAAAGACATTGAGCCACAGCCATCTTTCTTTGACCTTATAAAAACTGCAGCACAGGAAATTACAAAAGGGGTTGAAGACATTTTCACCACTGATTACAGCAAAACTGAAAACATGGAGAGAGAACAGGCTGTCATTTCAGAAGATATTCGTGACCGGTCAAAGCCTTTACCAAAAGAACCTGAATCCTCAGAGCAACGTAAACTTGTATTGAAGGAATGTATGGTTGAAGTGATCAAAACCACTCAAGAAACAGCGCCACCTATTGAGATGTTACAGACTGCGACGGAGAAAGGATTTGTTCAGGAAGTGCCCAAAAACACTGTTGAAACTGAACAAAGGGTGGTGGAAACGAAGGTTTCTGAAAGTGAAAAAGATGTAGCTCAACCTCAGTCAGAGGTTAAACTTTTGACAGAACTACATCAGAAGGTTCAAACAACAGAAGAGGAAAAAGACACAACTCAAGATTTCAATAAATATTCTCTTCAAATCGAGCCACAAGAGCTGAAATTGGTCGTCTGTAAAAAGGGAGAAAGTGAACCTAAACCAGAGGATTTGGAACTTACCCAGACACAAGAAACAAGTGTTCAACCTCTGAGTCCACCTGTCGAGATACCTGCAGAAGAAAGACAAACAGTGGACAGGTCTGAGGCATCAACAACCAAACTAAAGAGAAAGACACGGAAACACGGAAAGATAAGAAAAGACAAGGATCTGGAGGAGGTGGAGTCGCCTACTGACTCCCAAGTGGAAAAACCACAGACTGTAATAACTGAACCAGAGGAAAAACAAGGTCTGAAGACTATGATTAGTGAAAATGAACAAACACTACCAGGAATTCTTGCATGTCCTTTGGAGCAGGTCCAACAGGTTGACGATGAGACAGAATCCCCCAATTTAGCTGTCAAAGAGATTCAACAAATTCAACCACACACAGAAATGAAAACGATGATAGTACCACAATCACAATTTTCTCCAGAAAAACAATCTTCACTTAAACTCATTCCTCCCTCTGGAATCCAATCTCAAGAGTTGGAATCCACTCAGCTTGAAAACATCCGAGATCATGACTTGATCCTTTCAGAGGAGACTTATGTCAGTGAAAAGGGAACAGGTGTGGGGTCTAAAGTCTTGGATATAAAACCACCAACTTTGTTCAGTGATCTCATTAAAGTTACAGTGGAGGAAGCCACAAGAGCTGTGACAGCAATCGCTGGTTATTCTCCCCAAACTGAAGTGCGTGCTCCTCTAGATCAGGTGGAAAATGATTTAAATCTTCTTGGATTGGAACCAATAGAGGATAAGGATATTGAGTTTTGTGTTGATCGTCATGCAGTGGTTACTGATTCACAGCCAGCTTGTCCTATCAAAGAGGCAGCTACATTTCTATCTGACCCACTGTTAGAGTTTGCAGACTTGACCGACTTTGAGAGATCCAGTTGTAATGTTAGTTATCCATTAGCATCAGAAGGAACACAAGGTTCACCAACTGGAGGCATGGAGCTTGAGTGTGTAGAATTGCATGATGGTTTGCATGTTGTTCATGTTGACACTGCACAGCATCACCCAGCACAATTTGCCACAACCCAGCTACCCAAGAGTAGCACTACAGACAATCCTGAGGTCATGCTAGAAGTTTTAAATTATAAAGGTAATGTGCCAGAGACTCATGTTGAATTGCAGGTTGTTAAAACTGGTGGAATTCAACAACTAGAGTCAGAAATGAAAGACAAGCACGTGGTAAAAATGGATCCAGAGGATGAGCAGTTGCATTTAGATGTGCATGATAGAGAATTTCCACCAGAAGAAGAGAAGGAAGATAGAACCCAGGTGGGTGAGCATCAAGACTTTAAAGTGACAAAAGACATGCTTTCTGACTTACAGGTTGAAGCAAGCAAGAAACTAGATGTCTTGCAAAGCCGTCAAGAGGTATTCAAGGATGACTATACACTTAAGATTCTATTAAGTGATGTACAACAGCAGTCTGGTGACCCTGAAAAGATAACTGGGCCATTGCCAGAAGAGATGGAGAAAAGACTACTTGATGACAACACATCTAAAGACGCACAAGTAGCCAGTTTTAAGGAGACTGTAGAACCAAGTACTTCAGAATTAGGTCAAAAATTAGATACCGTGACTGAAGAGCAACAAAAGATTTGTGAAGAAGTCCAAGGTGATACGACACAAACAACTAGCAAAGACCCAGAAGATACAGACACTGGGCCTCAAACCCTGGAGGACGATGCTTCTGGATTAGAGAGATCTGAAGTTTCCATGTTTGAGATAGACACTCACATTGAAGAGACTATAACAATCACAACTGAACAACTTGAGAGACTTGGAATCGACCAAACAAGTCCTGATAGAAGACCATCTGAGGACATCACAACTGTTGAAGTCAGAGAACCCACTTCTCTAGTTTTTGCGGTGAAGCCTCATGAACTTGCTGCTGCTTTTGCAGAGATTAGTTTAGCTGAAATCGACACAATGGAACCAGGAGAGACAGAAATCAGGGTCAAACTATTAAGAACAACTAAAGAGGCAGAAGAAGCTGGAGATGAGACGGAGACCAAGGAGAGAAAGGAATCCGTTTGCTATCTACAAGTTGACATTCCCAAAAGCCAAGAAGAAAATGAGAATGTATTTGTCACTATAGTCAAAGAACCACAGATAGACATCCAAACCAGTTTTCACACTACAGACAAAGATGCATTAAGTGGAGCAACGGCCAAGACGATAAAAATTGAAGTACAGGGTAATGCTAGTTCTGAACCCCAAGGAGTCCAAAATGAGGCAATTATTTTGCTGCCAGACGAACCATATAAAGTTAAGTCCGAGTTTGTGGGAATCAGTCTTTATGAGCAAGGATCGGAGGAAACGCAAAAGGAACCAGAAATACGGATGATTACAACAACAACTGAGACAACAATCCAACAAAATGTGGTGGATATGGATTCTAATGGAGACTTGGAGCCACGTGGGGCTGTGGACTCTGACACAGCAACATCTGACGAGATATTTGAGGTTTTGGAATCTGCTCTCGTTGAAAAGAATTTAAAAGAAATTGAACAAAGCAAAACAGAAATTGAACCGTCTGCCCCGTCTGCCCAGGGTTTGCTATTGCAAGACCAAGATACAACTCAAGAAGATAATCTTACACCCTCTTTGACTGGGGAATCAGTTGAGTCTAGTTACAGAGGACAAAAGTCCAGTGGGACTAAAATAGAACAAGCACTTGTTGAAGAAGAGAGGATTTGTCACAAAAAAGTTGAGAAATTAGACGTAATCGAGCCAGAGCAGACAGCAAAGGTACACACAGCATTACCTGAAAAATCTTTTATTGAACTTATGAAGGAAGCAGCTCGAGAACTGACGAGAGGTGTTGAAACTATTGTCACAGGTGAAACTATGCAAATCCAAACATGTGTGGAGCCAGATGATTCAAAGCTACCAGAAGCCCCCTCTAGCATACAGAAAGAATCCACAGAAAGTCCCCCAATGGAAGAGATTGTCATTCAGTCCGCTGTCGACGCTGTCGTTACTGTAGATGAGGAAAGGTTCATCAATACTTGTCAGGACCAGGATATAACGAGACAACAGCCACATAAACAGGGTGAAATGGATGAGCCCATTCAAGAAACTAGGTTAGGCTCTGAAAAGTCTTTTGTTGTCAGTATGAGAGCAGCTGCACAAGAACTGGATTGTGCTGAAATAAAATCCCAAAAAGAAGGGATTGCAGAACCTGAACCCTTCGTGAAAGACATTCTGGCTGTTTTTAAACTCAAGCTACAAGGAACGAAGCAAGAAGCATCACCTGACAGAGGCATAGGTCCAACAGATTCAGCCACCAAAGAAAGCGACATTTTGGAAGAGGTTCCTGAAATGTCTCAGAAGCGTTTAAAGAGGCGAGAGAGTTTAGGTGTCATTGAAGATCCAGGCGTGAGTCCAACTGAAGTCGTCCAAATGTTCCCCAACATCCTGACAACAACACCGCTCACACCAACGCAGAAAATTGACTCCACGATCATCATTCCGTCCAAGTCAAAGACAACAATCTTTGAGATGGCTGTGAAGAAGGACAGAGTTCCGGTTTTACAAGGAGATCGTAGGGAGTCGGCCAATCAAGATACAATTAAAGAACAAATCTATGGAGACAGTGAGGAAGATACTAAACTGATTCAAGATGTTGAAAAGGCAAAAGACAAGCCAGATGAGCAATGTAGCTCAGAGAATAAAGTTCAAAAAGAAGCTGAAATAGTTCAAGAAGCTGATCCAGCGCAAGACTTACCATCTGTGGTTGTTGATGCTGTTAATGAACTGATTCAAACAACAATAAAGGAGGCCACGCAACTGCTGTTAATCCCTGGTGTGTTACTGGACACAGACACTACTGGTTCTACTGCCAAGACTCAAGAACAAGAAACAGAACTGGTCAAAGGACAAACTACAGGAGTCCAAGCCTCTTCAGGAGAACCCGTCCAAGCCTCTACAGGAGAACCAGTCCAAGTCTTTACAGGAGAACCAGTCCAAGCCTCTACAGGAGAACCAGTCCAAGTCTTTACAGGAGAACCAGTCCAAGCCGGTTCAGGAGAACCAGTCCAAGCCTCTACAGGAGAACCAGTCCAAGTCTTTTCAGGAGAACCAGCCCAAGCCTCTACAGGAGAACCAGTACAAGCCTCTTCAGGAAAACCAGCCCAAGCCTCTTCAGGAGAACCAGCCCAAGCCTCTACAGGAGAACCAGCACAAGCCTCTTCAGGAAAACCAGCCCAAGCCTCTTCAGGAGAACCAGTCCAAGCCTTTTCAGGAGAACCAGCCCAAGCCTCTTCAGGAAAACCAGCCCAAGCCTCTTCAGGAGAACCAGTCCAAGCCTTTTCAGGAGAACCAGCCCAAGCCTCTTCAGGAAAACCAGCCCAAGCCTCTTCAGGAGAACCAGCACAAGCCTCTTCAGGAGAACCAGCCCAAGCCTCTTCAGGAGAACCAGTCCAATCCTCTACCAGAGAACCAGTCCAAGCCTCTAAAGGGAAACCAACCCAAGCCTCTACAGA